GCTGAGCTGGTAAAGGCTCTCAGGCCAAGCCTGACAACAACCTCAATTTGATTCTGTAACTCATGTGGTAACCTACATAACCTACATAAGACCCACTAACCTACATAAGACCACTGTCATGCCCTCCCTTTCTGCAAGAAATGTTTAAGCAAGTGAAAAGCAAAGCAAAAAAGCAGATATAAGCCTGCAAATGAACCACTGTCTGAAAGCAAGCTATTCAGGAACAGCTGAACGACAGCTTTCCCTTTCATGGTTCCAAGCTATAATAACCTTCAAAGCCTAATTAGGAACTATCCCAAAGCTGGAGTCAGTGACTCCGTCAGCGCACAGGGAAAGTCATAAAAAAATAATTCATTTAGAAGCAATTCAAAATCCAGCATTTGTGAAAATCACAGTGGATATTAACCTATCCTACTATGTACGACACAAAATCATGAGCTTCTAAAATCAGAAATCAAGTTTTCCATTGTTTTGAGAACTTTTACCCACTTTTTCAAAGCGCTTGTCCTTGAAGATACTGACTTTTGACAACTGCAATAAAAGTCACAAACACCAAAAGAAAAGCAGTTGTTGAGACACGAATGTGAGCTGCACACGCTATCATGCTAGAGTTGTGGAACAGAGACAAAGTTAATCACCATCAGAATCTTGAAAATGTGGACATGAACTGAAGACATGGCTTAGCATACCAGGGACTTCTGGTTGTCAGGAATGATGGGAAACATTGGTAAGCTGCTGTTTGCACAAAGTAGACCTGAAAAGTAACTGAGTCTATCAGAGCCTCGATTACCTTGGTTCAAATTAAGGCTTTACTACTTACTGGTTGTGTAACTCAGATAAGCTACCAATTTCTCTTTGAGTTTGACATTGAAATAGGATTGATGTATAAAGAGTCCTAACAGTGGCGGCTTCAAAGTGGTGCTCTAGATGTATTTGCTTCAATAGCCTTTCAAGGCACAAATGTCAACATGCCACTAAATGTATGTTCTTAGGCATGCTCCATCATCTTGTTTCAAGATCTTAAGAGATTTTGCTAACGTTTCTAAAAGAATTTTGTCTTGAAATGAAAGGCTTTTTCAAAAGACTGGCATTTTCAATAGAGAACGTCTTAATTGTTATTATATTTCTTCTACAATTTTTCTCTAATCCTAAAAGCATGTATCTTTAATTCCTTTCTTTTGAAACTTGAAATGTCATGGTTTTCTTTGCCACTCTTGTCTAATAGTATCCTTCTCTCTCATCTTTGTTGGCTTCTGCCATTCCTCTGGAGCTCTTGCAAACACCTTGATCCTAGTCTTCATGGTGAACACATGCCTCCAGTTTCTCTGTTGTCCAAATATACAAAATAATTTTTACAAAACTGTTTTTTTTTTTTTTTTTTTTTTTGGCAATGGTGGAGAACAGACCTGGGCCTTGATCCTGTTAGATAAGGTAAGCTACACTAACTGAAGGTGAATGCTTTCAAGTTTCAATTTATTCTCTGTCTTTCTTAGCACCAAATCCCCTCAGATACATCTTTGAAACCTAATATTTAAAGCCCTATCCAATTTGGCCATAACTTAATGTTCCAAATTTAGCCTTTTGTCCTCTCCTCTCATAAGTTAAATACTCTATCACAGTAGTCTAGCATGAACACTTTTGTTCCTGCTGATTTTTGACCATCTTCATTGTCAAAGACTACATTCAGAATCACCCAGGAGACACACCTTTATGTGCCTTTGGGGGTTTCCCAAGATGACTGACTGAAGAGAGAAGATCCACATTTAAATATGTACCATCAACCCATGAGGGGCTCAATGTGAGCAAGCTTCTGCTCCACAGATAAGAGTGGCTCCTGCTGCTAGGGCAGTTTCCGCAGTAACAGCCCAGAACCTCTCCTTAATGCACAGCACAAAACCTGTCCTCCTTCAGTTGCTTCTTGTCCCAGTGCGGTGAAAAGTAACTACATTCAAAATTGTTCATGAAAAGAGATGTTGCTGTGATGAACATGATTCATTGGTTTAAGAGTTCAGAGCTGTGGGCTAGAAAATCCCTAGCTTTTCTAGAGAGGGAAGCAGAGACCATGAGCCATTCCACAGTAGTTCAGAAGACTACAATAACAACTGAAATGCAGGTAGTTTCTGGGTTAGAAGACAATAGATTCTGAAAGAGGCTCATAATGGTATTTCATTTAGGTTCTCTAAATGAACAGAAGATGTGTGTGTGTATGTGTGTGTGTGTGTGTGTGTGTGTGTGTGTGTGTGTGCATGAATTAAGGAGAATAATAATAATAATATATATATACATACACATATATATGCATGTATATATATATATATGTATATATATATATAAAACAGAATTTATTAAGGGAGATCTTAAATAGTAATGACAGTCAGATGACATCTTGAATGGCAAGAACATAGAATTCAGTTCTTGAGTCTGGATACCTCAACAGTTGGAGTAGTCCAAGTCCGAGAACACCACTCTCACTAGGGCACAGATGGTGACCAGTAGTTACTCAATCTATAAAGCAGAGTGCCCCCATAGTCCCAGTTTGGTGCTGGGAGCCTGTAAAGTTTCCTGAAAACCAGTGTTCCCTAGCTGAGGACGAAAGCTTGGAAATGCTAATTCTGCTGTTAGTGAAGGAACCAAACAGCAGGCACAGGAACAGAGCCTTGGCCAGCAAGAGGGAAGGTCAAGTGAGCAAGCAGCAGACAAACAGACTTCCTCCTGAAATGACCTTAATTGTTTGGTTTGGTACCTGAGGGTGATCTACCTTCCCACACCAAGTGAGTTCTTCAGTTGGGGTTCCCGACTGAGGTGCTTCTTCATTGTGACAAGTTGATATTAAAACTACCCATTACAAAGAAACTGTTTTACCTATGGACTACAAAGTGAAGCAGGCTAAATTCACAAGTAATGGACTAAGCTGTTTGGCAGAAGAAATTTCAAGACAAGGCAGTGGCATAGTTGTGGATTTATAGTGTGAGAGAGTGGAAGCAGAGAGAGTATGTGGAAACCATGCCAAGGAGAACAATGTGAACCTGGATAAAACATGGACAGAGAAGCGCAATTTGGCCATAAAGAGAGCTTGAGCCTTGATAGAATTGAGGACAAGTTCAGAAGTTACCTATAGGTAGCTAGCCATCCACCAAAGTATTATAAAAATACACTTTATCTCTTTGTAGATTAAAGGAGCCCCCAACATGGAGCATTTGGGGAGCTTTCAAACAATTGAGCAAGCACATTTTGGCTTCAACAAAAACACACCTACAAATTTAGGAATTACATGCAGCAAAAGGAATGCTAGAACAACATATATTTAATACCTTAATTGTGCAGCTTATTATATCTTACTCAGTTCAAATGATACCATAAAAGTGTATACACACACACACACACACACACATACATATGAGACTCCCTTTGGGGAAGAAGAGGGTCTTAGGAATTGCAATTCAGAAGACAGATTCAGGGATTTGGGGAATAATCAATCAGTGTTGCAAGACAGAAAAAGTGGGGGCTTACATGGGACACTGAAGGCTGAGAAAGAACAGGAGACATGGACCATATATGAATGGAATGGCAAAGCCCATAAGTCAAGTCTGATGACATTGGAGCCTCTGGGAACAGTGCAATGGGAGGTTCCCATGCCTGTGGTTAGATTGTAGGTGAACATATTCTAGGCAGCAGATGGCACTGTGCTGTTTGATAGCTTCCATAGTTTCCATTTTGAAAAGCTTTCTTTTGTTTATTTGTTTTGTTTTTTGAGACAGAGTTTCTCTTTGTAGCCTTGGCTGTCCTGAACTCATGCTGTAGACCAGGTTGGCCTTGAACTCAGATATCTACTCGCCTCTGTCTCCCAAGTGGGATTAACGGCATGAGCCACCACTATCCATCAAGTTTTGATGGATATTACATTTTTCTTCTCAATTTCAGTCAATCCTTTAGTAACACTGTTAAATGTTTTAAATTACATATTAAAAATTATCAAAATTCTCCAAATAACCTTGTTTTGCTTCATTTCCACTTTTACTAATAATTGTTTTTATAATGCAATAGTTTGTCAATATAGTTTTCTTGTATTTTGAGCATCAACATCTACTATCCTTTACATTGGAAGCCACACTATCATTTCTAATTCCATGTATTTGTATGTTGCTAGTCCATTCTTGGCATCAGTATAGAGACCATCACTAAGAATGAGCCAATGGGTACCTTGCAAATGCAGTTACTGATGTCCGTGATTAACTCAAGCGGGCACAATATGCATTTCCTGTGATTTTTGCAACAAGTATTTATTGGAATGACAGTGGTGGGGTTTAAAGACTTGTATTTATCACTGCAATAAGGCAAAAAGTTTTCAACTATATAGCCAACTGAGAGATGGGGCTAGTAAGAGAATAAGCCTTGAGATTATCTAGTAATATCTACCAATGCTCATCTCTATTTTTGGAATTTCGGCTAATGTGAATCACTATGCTTCTTTTGCCCAAGTCAGTATAAGTCAGGTTTTCTTGGATGTAATGAGAAGAGGCCTGACTTCATGTTGAGTTGCGTGTGAGTGTGTGTGTGTATAACTATACTCTCCATACTTTACTCCATTGCCATCTGAGCTTATGAATAAGATTTTTTAAATTTACACCCAGTTTAATGACTCCTCAAGATACATTATTTATAAAAAAAAAAAAAAAAAAAAGAAAATGAAAGGACCTTCTTTGATACCAAGAAAGGAAGGTAAGAGTAAAGTTGCAGAACCTTTTAGTCCTGAAAATGTTCACAATTTCCCTATATCAAACTATACATCTTTATTGTAAAGAGGAGGGATTGGTCTCTGGTAATTTTAGGCCATTTAAAATTCTCTCTGGAAAACTGCATCCTAACAAACAGCTGAATTAGTTACTTGCTTCATAGAACTGGGTGTCAACACACAGGACTTTAAACAGTGTTACCAGGATCTCCTGGTCTCCCCAGTCTTTCGGATTTCTGTTGAAAGAATTCACATGAGACTCACAAAAAGCAGTGAAGACAAGCAGTTTATTACAAGGCAAAAAGGCCACTCTAAAGGGTGAGGAACGCAACGGCCAAAGCAACTACTAATCAGACTTGTACAGTTTGTGCTCCTCGTTTTACAGGCTGATTACAAAAGGGACCATACTCAGCGATTTTTAAGCCTGCTGATGGTAGTTAACAGCTCTGCCACTCAGCTATATAGAATTCAGATATAAAATCTCTTTCTCTTACTTTTTTTTCTTTTTTGCCTGACTCACAATACTTTTACTTTTTAAATTTATTCACTTTGTATCCCAGGTATAGCCTCCTCCTTTGTCTTCCCAATCCTGCCCTCCCTCCCTCTTCTCCCATGCCCCTCCCTTAGTCCTCCTCCCCTTCCATCTGACCCTAGCCTATCAGGTCTCAACAGGACTGTCTACATTGTCTTCCTCTGTGGCCTGGAAAGGCTGCCCCGCCTCGGGGGAAGTGATCAAAGAGCCAGCCAGAGTTGATGTCAGACAGTCCCTGTTCCCCTTACTAGGATACACACTTGGACACTGAGCTACCGTGGGCTATATCTGTGCAGGGGTTCTAGGTTATCTCCATGAATGGTCCTTGGTTGGAATATCAGTCTCAGAAAAGACCGCTGGGCCCAGACATTTTGGTTCTGTTGTTCTCCTTGTGGAGCTCCTGTTCCCTCCAGGTTTTTCTATCACCCCTTCTTTCATGAGATTCCCTGCACTCTGCCCAAAGTTTGGCTATGAGTTTCAGTATTAGACATATAATATAGGATAATCATATTAAAATCTGTACACTTAAAGAAGCTAATCAAGAAGGAGGACCCTGGGTAAGATGCTCAACCCTCATTCAGAAAGGCAAATGGCATAGACATCTGAAGAGGGAGAAAACAGGGAACAGGACAGGAGCTTACCACAGAGGGCCTCTGAAAGACTCTACCCAGCAGGATATTAAAGTAGATGCTGAGACTCATAGCCAATCTTTCTTACTCTTTTGTTTCTGAAGACTGCCTTCCTTCCTTTCCTTCTTCCTTTCTTATTCTCACTCTCTTTGCTGGGGAAAAATGCAAGAACTTAAACATACTAAAATTAAAATTCAGTCAAAATTAAATGGAAAGCCAATGTCCTGGTTTGTGCTGTTTAGAAGGCTGAGGTAAGAAAAAGATGACCAGGAGTTCCAGGCCAGCCTAGGCTACATAGTGAGAACTGTCTCAAAATGAACCCAGCCAGCCAAAACAGCAACAACAAAGATTTTGGTGTTCAGTTTTTGTTTTTTTTTTTTTGACAGGGTTTTTCTGTGTAACCTTGGCTGTTCTGTCCTGACTTGCTTTGTAAACCAGGCTAGTGTGAAATTTACAGAGATTTACCTACCTCTGCCTCCCTGAGTGCTGGAATTACAGGCATGTGCCACTGCACCCAGCTAAAAAAGTTAAGCTTAAAGCCAGTCAGACCTAACTGAAATTAACCATTCAAATACTGGCTAATTTTTGTGTGTGTACATATAATTTTATGCAAGTTTATGAGGCTATGTGCACAGGTGTATGCATGCATGTGGAGGACAAATATTGACATCAAGTGTTTTGCTCATTCTGTACCTTCTTTAATGAGATTGGGTCTCAAGAGAACCTAGAGGTCAGACTCAGCTAGAGGGTGCGGCAAAGATGCTCCTGTATCTGCATTTCAAGAACAAGGATTACAGATGCATACAGTTATACCTACTTGCTTTTCTTTGTCTTTTTTTATTTTTTAATGTGGGTGATGGGGAGATCTAAACCTTATATTTATGTGGCAAGCACTTTACAGAGAGCATCATCTCCCCAGACCAAATACTTGTTTAAATTTAATTCAATCAAGTATTTGTTCCAGATAAGCAAAACATACGTTAATATACATATTTTCCATCATATAATCTTTTATCTTTACTTCCCTCCTCTTCAGTTAAGTTCTTAAGAACTTTATTATTAAAATATGAACTCTAAAATAATTTGAAAATAAATAGAAAGCCACATTAAATACAAATTGAAAGAAGCTTGGAGAGTAAGTCTGAGCCACAAATATTTATGGAGAAAAAAGTTGATATGCAAATAGAATGAATTGTCAGAAAGTGAGGGGTACTTAGTGAGACAAATCTATTAAAACTTATCCTGTGTGACTGTCCTCTCAATTGCCCCAATGTATCACAGCTCTCCTGTCTCTTTAGACTTGGTCATATAACTCTCTTTGTCCATATGGTTAGCCAACATGAAAAGCCAAGCTTGGCAAACTCTTGCAACATGCTTTGATCTAGAATGTGTTCTCTATCATGGCAGAAAGCACAGTTTGGACTGGTAGACAACAAAAGACAACTCATAGAACTCATAAGGTTTATGAAAAATCATAAACCTTAACTTGCTTTTGTTTTGAGAGTAGGTCTTGCTATATGGCACAGGCTGACCTTGAACTAGTAATTCTCTAGCCTTAGCCTGCCACGTGCCACCTGAATTTTTTGGAGCTTTGTCATATAATAATGGAAAATGAGTAACTTTCTGTGGGAGTGCAAATACATAAATAAATCTATACATATCATGAAAACAAAGTTTAAAAGCAAACACTTAAAAGTGCTGTGTGCTTGCAACTCTTCGCAGACCCATAACAATTCTTTATGTAGACTCAATATTTTACTGCTGCCCAAACATCCTACATAATGACCGCACCACTTTAAACAATGAGCTAAGTGCATGATAAATATTTTATTTTTAAACACTGAATTACACATTTCCTATAAAAGATGAGACTCAATCCTCAGGTTTTAAAAAATAACTATATTTGTCAATATGTTTGTATTTTTAACAGAAGCTAATATTCTCTAAATCCATAGCTTCACCTGTCCTGTAGCTTTTACAGATTCATAATCTCTTGAATACATTTCCAATATCCTTTAAAAATAAAACTTCATAAAAGATATTTTTATTTAACACATGAAACTTATCAAGTTGCAGCACAATTGTCCAGCCTTCCAGGTACCACTGGATACTTTTCAGAGAAATGTTGGAGGATTAGTTCTCTGTATTTACTTTTATTAAAAACAGGTTTTTGGTGGTGAGAACAAACAATCTCTCGTTTGTCGCCTGAAAGCCTAAAATAGGATCATTGGTTTCTAGGCTTGCTACTTGCTGCTTAGCAACCTGCCCCACATGCCTGCCCTCCTTTCTGTTGTAAAGCACGGTGGACATGGGAGCCGGCTGCCGATAGATGAACACCCGGCGAAGGCACTCACAAAGGGCTGCATAAGAATAATTTGGAGCACAGGCAAAAAATTTCTTGTCTCTTTTTGATGCTTGGACGTAACCTGCCAAAAACAAAAGGAAAAAAAAAAAAAGAACTATGTTAAACTGAAAGAGAGAAATCACGATTTAACACTTAATATTTCATGGTATCCATTAATAATTTAAATACTTAGTAACATATATCACTAATAGCCAACAATGGGTGAATTCAGCAACATTAAGAGTGAGCCACAGTTTCTTCTAAGAGGTGCAAAAATACAACTTTAATTCCTAACAAAGCAGTGATTCCTCCCTTCAGCAAAGGCACAATGCAGTTCTATTTAATTTCCATGAAATAAAATAATTAAAATCTGAAATCTTAAATACCAAATACGTAAAAACTTAAATCCTAGCTAAACAGAAAAACAACTCCAGGAATATAATGACAACTAAATTAAAAAAAAAAATTAAGAAGGCACTAGATAATAGAAAGACCTCCCATGGCCATGGATTAGCAGAATCAGTATCGGGAAAAGTATTAGTGAAAATGATGTATAGTTTAAAAATATCCTCATCCAGATTCTAATGACATTCTTTAGAGAGACAGATAAAACAATCATGAAATGTATACAGAGGTATAAAAGACCCTAACCAAGACGCTAGTCAAGGAAATCCTAAGCAAAAATTAATGGCTAGAGGTTATTAGAATAATTGTTGACCTCAAGCCATATTACAGAGTCACAAGAACAAAAACACTGTAATACAGACACAAAAACAAATATATAGAAGAATGGAATGGTACAGAGTGGTGGTTCTCAATCCATGGGTCCAACACCTTTGGGGGTGGAATGACCCTTTTGAGGGACAATAGAGATATTTTGTCATTAACAGACATTTAAAATCCAACATCCTTTGTAACAAATACTGCTGGGAAATAGGATATCCATATGGAAAAGAATGAAAGTAGACTCATTTTGAAGAATCAATCCAAAATGTATCAAAAACCCTTAAGACCTGAAATTCTGAAACTGGTAAAACAAGTGAATAGCAATCGATAAGCAAAAGAAGGGCTTTCAGGAACGACTATAATAGCTCAAGAAATGGAAGCAAAAGCTGACATATTGGATCATGTGGAAATACAAAGGCAATGCACAGCAAGGAAGCAAGTAACTGTGGCAAGACACAGCCTACAAAATGGGAGACAATCTTTGCTGTTTATATATCTGAGAGACAATTCATATCCAGAATATGTAAAGAACTCGAGTTTCCCTAGTAAGGGGAACAGGGACTGTCTCTGACATCAACTCAGTGGCTGGCTCTTTCTCCTCCCTACCCCCAAGGGAGGAGCAGCCCTGCTAGGCCACAGAGGAAGACAATGCAGCCAGTCCTGATGAGACCTGATAAACTAGGGTCAGATGGAAGGGGAGGAGGACCTCCCTTATCAGTGGACTTAGAGAGGGGCAGGGAGGAGATGAGGAAGGGAGGGTGGGATTGAGAGGGAATGAGGGAGTGGGATACAAAGTGAAATAAACTGTAATTAATATAGAAATAAAAATTTTATAATAAAAAAAGAACTCATAGAACTATCCCCAAACAAACCAATCCAGTATATGAATGGGTAATGACATGAACAAGTAGCTCTCAAATGTTGAAGCACAAATGTCTAGTAGACATATAAAATATGTCCGACATCTTTAATGTGGAAATTTAAATTATATTGTCATTGAGATTCTATCTAAGTGTGCTCGGAATTGCTGTTATTACAAAGGATAATACATGTTGAGGACAATGTGAGAAAAGAAGGGCGCTCACTTCAGTGTTGATGGGGTGTATACTCTATACTCATATAGACACTATGGAAATCAGTTCAACCTAAAAAACAGAAGTACCATATGACACAGTTTTACCTGGTTATTTAGTGGAAGAAATCAGAAATGCTTGAAGATACCATAGAAGTCAAAATACAGAATTAGTTTAGAGAGCCATCAACAGAGGAACACATAAAGGAAATGTGATACACACACTCACAAAAATATGGTGTTTAATTCACCTGTAAAGAAAATTATGTCATCTATAGGGGAATAAATGTGAATGGACATTACCATCCAAAATAAAATCAGCCAGACTCAGAAAGACAAATACTGCATGTTTTCTTTCAACACATACACATACACACATACTCACAAGAATACACGTAAATAGAGAGATAGAAAGGTGATTAAACAGATGAAAATGCAGAGAAAGAAAAGAAGGAAAACGGAGAAGACTTTTTTTCTTGTAAGTAAAGTACACTTAAATACATTTACATTTTTGTTCATTTATAGTGAGCAAAACCATGAGGCATAGCAGGTCAACACTCCTTTTAAAATATTAGGTGAGATGTAAAAAGGGAAACATGGAAATATAGGAATGTTTTGAGTAAACAAACATTAACCGTATACTTTTTGAGAGTAATGTACAAAATAACTCGAGTGCTATCTAAGATAAAGTTGATTTAACTTGTTAAAGCACAGTTAATTTGTAAGAGGGTTCTGACATGCAATTGAAGACTGAGCATCTAAAAGCAACCTGGTAGGACTTTGCTCTTCCTTAAGGAAGGAAGATAATTACAAAACAGGAATTCTAGTAGAAGTCATAAATTGGGTAGTTAATTAATCCATCAAACCTGGTAGTAGTTTATGTCAAAGAAATTCACTTGGAGTCCGAGTGAGGCAATTTAGCTTAAAGTGCTAGTGACAAATTTCCTCATCAATTAGAGTTCTCCATACGCAGCCTTTAAAATTCTCAATTTTACTTTTTTTGCTGCCAGTTTAAAATAAGCTTTCAATGAAGCAATAACTGTAGCTAATTCACATAACACAACTCCCACAAAATACAGAAGTATTTTGACATAAAATCAATAGTAACATAACCTTCAGTTATATGTGTTAAATTTTTTTCAAAGTATACTTTGAGAACACATATTTTCCCCTTTAACAAATAATTCAATTTATGTTCTTTCATTTTATGACTGTTTTCATTACCATGGTCTCTTCTTTTCACTGTGGTTCAGATTTTGAGTCACACTTGTTATATAACTCTGGCTAGCCTCACACTGGTGCCTCCTGCCTCATCCAATCAGGTGATGGGAATGCAGGTATATACTCTCAAGCCAGGCAGGCTTCTTTAGCACTGAAGTTCAATTAAATAGGTCTTCTAAAAAATGTGCATTATGTACAGCAGGATGATTTTGAAGATTAGTCTGAAGAGACTTAAATACACATTGCATGCCCAAGCTCCTGATCATACTGACTTAAAACCAACAACTCATTAGAAATATTCAGATATATTGAAACTTCCTAGTCCATCATGTATAAGAAAAGGTCCATCTTTCTAATCTAACAGTTTAACAGAATGCAGCCAACCGAACAGAGCATGAACCAATCAATGTAACTAGGAGGGCTCAATAAAAAGAGCAGATTTAAGATGATGACGAGCTGAGCGGATAGAAAAGCTACTGAAGAGAACGCTTTCTACCTAGTGCATTGAAGGTCGCAATGTGCTCCCACATGTCGTCCTGCTGGCTGCAGTGTGGCTGCCAGAGGAGAGCATCGACATCATGGCGTAGACAGAAGCAGGGCATTTCTTTAGGATCCACAGTGACTGAGAACAGGTACTGGTTGCTGCCAAGATTCACCTAAAGTGACAAAAATTATTCAAAAAGTTAGTAATAAATGACAACATCATCACCAGTTATTGTTCATGATGAACATGAACTTTTGTTGTACACATAAAATCTGGACCTAGAGTCTCTATTTTTAATCACTATGCTATCTACCCCTCAATGTTAGTAAAGATATGACATAAAATATCAATTGGATAAAAAGAACAGTTTTAAATAACAGAATACAAACATCCAACTTATTAATGTTAGCTTGTAATATTGCCAAGAATAAATAACACCTATAGTTTATGAGCTGAGTCTACATGCCAGGCTTGTGCTAAGTAGTAACCTCCACAGCTCATGAGGAGCTGTCATCTTCATGTGATAGCTGAAAGTAGAGCCTTGAGGGTTTAAATAAGTGGTTCTAGGCTACAGGGAAAATCACAATATTGGATAAAAATATAGATCTACATACCAATTGCCCCACTGTGTTCCTGAATTACGGCATTAATATCAATAAATACTGTTATGGTAATACTGTTGCTTGAGGAATTCATTTCACTACAAAAATCATTTTTTGAGACTTATGATTGGAAGCCACTTACAGGGAAGCTGCATTAGTAGAGACAGGTGCAGCCATATTCCTCATCAGTCATCTGATTATTAGAGCTTTAAATACCAACACAAATAACATCAAAATGTAGGTGCTAGGGTTAGGGTTAGAGTTGGGGTGCTCTGTGTGTGATAAATGTGACTTGATTCAGTGCAACAGAAAAGAAAATGTTGGCTGAGAAGTTGAGGCCTGACTTGCACTTTGTAAGGAAAGCTGTGAAAAGCTGTAGCATGAGGATTTATTGGTTCACCAGGGCAACCCAGGCTCTAAGAAAAGCTGCCCATGAGAATAACATGCGAGAGCAGGCCTAGAGCATGCTCAGTGTAGCAAGGATAGGCTGGTGTGCTCCTATCACTGCTTATCTCTTCTTTCCCTGTGATCTGGACTATCAGGGCTAAGTAAGACTTACTCTGAAACTATTAGTAGCAAATGGGCCTGCTAAGAAAGCCTCAGTTGACTCACCCCTGCTTCATCTCTTTCCTCACCTCCACTGGTTTCCTCTGGATCACCGAGGACTTTTCCAGAAGGACTAATCTAATTGAGGTAATGAACAGGTGGACTGCAATAGTATTTTTATAAAATGTGCTTACTTTCTTGAGAAAAATGAGCATTAACATTACTAATGCTGAAACTAACTCACCTATTAGCCAGCCTCTTTTGCATGACTGCACAGCAGTGAGAAAGTAACAAATCAGCTAAACTATCAACTGAAAGTTTAACCAAGAGATCAACCTTGAAAACACGAGCGTGAGGGTGAAGGTCTCTCAATGAAAGCCCCTCATTCTGCTAAATGCTTTCTTTTTTGCCACTTACAATTGTGCTACATGGGATGTCAAAGCGCTACTGATGTTCCAACTCTGCCCTCACTGACTCCTCCTGTCCTCTTTCACATTCTACTAACCCCACAATTCAGGCCAATAATCACCTGTTCATGACATATTTACAATCCTAGGAGATGCTTAACTTTAAAAATTCCCTGTTGTCCCAAAGAATGAAGAAATCTGGGCCCAGAGGTCTTTCTGAGACTGATACTCCAGCCAAGGACCATGCAGGGAAATAACCTAGAACCCCTGCTCGGACCTAGCCCATGGCAGCTCAGTATCCAAGTGGGTTCCCTAATAAGGGGAACAGGGACTGTCTCTTGACATGAACTCAGTGGCTGGCTCTTTGATCACCTCCCCCTGAGGGAGGAGCAGCTTTGCCAGGCCACAGAGGAAGACAATGCAGCCAGTCCTGATGAGACCTGATAGGCTAGGGTGACATGGAAGGGAGAAGGACTTCCCCTATCAGTGGACTAGGGGAGGGGCATGGGAGAAGATGAGGGAGGGAAGATGAGATTGGGAGGGAATGAGGGTGTTACAGCTGGGATGCAAAGTGAATAAGCTGTAATTAACATAAAAATAAAAATTAAAAGTATTCCCTATTGCATGATTATTATTTCTTACACAATATACTATCATATTAGATTGTTGTTAAGCACAGATATCACCCCTGTACACCCACCCCTTAGGCCTCTGGAACTTCTGAGTATTTTTTTTTAGATAATCAAAAGTATGTTTAGGATTTTCAAATGGCGAGATTACCCTGGATGAGCTGAGTGAACCCGAAGCATTATTAAGATTCCTTGTAAGAGGGAGGAGAGAAGAGGGCACAAATACAAAGGGCAATGGGACAATAGCAGCACAGAGAAAAGAGGGTGACTCACGACACTATACTGTTGGTTATGTGTCCCCTCTAGGAGTGAGAAAGGCAAAGAAAAATTCTCTCCAGAACTCCACAAAGCAACACGGGCAGACCTGAAAGCCCATTTAGGACTTTGGGCATTCAGCTACACCAGAATGAAATACCATTTTTTCAGCTACTAATCCATGAAATTTTTCACAATAACAGTAACCCAAGATAGTGGCCATGTTAGTAAATGTCTTGAGAACTAAAACTTTGTCTTGGCTCCATATTCTTTCTGCCTCAACTACAGTTTCTCTTTTCTTTACATGACGTGATGCTGTAAATTTCCCCTTCTGAAGTACCAAGCATCCTGCCTGTGCTGGGTGTCATCTGTAATCAATACAAAATTCCTCTATGTCTCATTGAGTTACTGAGAAATATAGCCCTTAATTTCTACATAATTTTGCAGTATTTATTTATGGTGTGATCCTGTTAGCCAAAGAACATTTTATATTTATTCTCTTACACTTGTTTTTGTTTGGTCTTGAACATGTTCTATTTTGATGAGTGCTCTATCACTCTTTACCACTTAGTTGTATGTATACAGCCCTCCCATATGTTCTAGAAAAACAAGCAGCAAACCTTAAACACTCCCCCCTATTGTAAACATAAACTATGATTTAAGTACAAAGTTTCAGTAATGGTAGTTTTTAACCCCCTCTCAATGTCACTCGTTTTGTTTCTGTGCTGCCCTGCGTATATGGGATTCTGTTAGTGCCATACTCTTTGTCTTGTCCTTTTTTTTTTTATTCTTAATTTTATCTATAATGTGTAGCATGTATTGATCTTTTCTACTGTCATTGCCATAATGACAACAGTTAGATTAAATTATTTCTGATAATTCCTTGTTTCTTGACAATGGGATACTTTTACTCTGTGTCTAGTTGCTTTTGTTGCTGCTGTGACAAAATGCCTGGCATAAATAGCTTATAGGAGAAAGACTTTGACTATTTTCAGTCCCCGCTGTAGGGGCAGGCCACTGGAACAGAGCGGCTTACATATCATGGTGGGGGTGGGGCATGCCGTGGAGAATATGCTTGTGCCACCTGGCTTTCTCTTTTTCTCAGCCTATCAGATGTTAGCTTTGACACCCAGCGTGGGTCTTCCCTGATGAATCCCTCCTCCCTGGAAAAGCCTTCATATAATAGCCCTGAAATACTCTTTGTTAATCTATATGCTTTTCAGTCCACTCAGGATGAAGAGCAAGATTAAGTGTATAACAAACTAAGCTGATTAAAATAACTACCTTAATAAGTGAGCGAAATAAAGTGAGATAACAAAAAAAAAACATAATTTGTATTTTTGTATTGAATGCTCTACATTCAATCCCTAGATTTTTTTTTTAATCCTTAGTCAAGAACAGGAAGCATAAATCAAAATTTTCAACATAAAACTCTATATCCTGGTTATAAATAAAATCTCATGGAATTTATAACTCTAGACAAAAGTAAACTGGGGGTATGACAAAAAAAGATGACTGCTCTGGGCAGATACACTATCAACAATAGGCAATAATTAATAGCTTATTAGCAGTACAAAAACCCAGGCAAACCAACTACAATCAGATGAGAACATTTTAGGGCTATGCTAGGGCAACTTATTGTAGAGGTAATAAATATTAATTACCTCAAATGCCACTATCACATTCAATAGAAATAATATAGTAACAGCCAGTATGCAAGCATCAATACAAGGTTACATTCTTCAGGATGCTCTACATACAACATTGGACAAATAAAAGATTTGAATAAGACTATTGACAGGTCTTTGAACATAGGTTTTATATTTAAATGAGAAAATTAATTTAGACTTCATAGAAGCTCATTCCTCATTAGTACCAAGTATGTATCTTATGGCCTAAATTTAAGAAATCTTTTGTCCAATAAAATAAAATTTCACATTATGTCTATTTTCGTAATCACTGTAGATAAGGCTATATTTAATACTGAAGTACCAGCAAAGACTACAGTTAGAGTAAAATGTTCTCAAGAAAATGTGAAAAGTATTTCAAGTAGTCAGCTGATAGTCTTCTTAGGAACATGCAGCAATTAGACTTCTGAAGATTTCATGTCAGAATGAAAAAGTTCAAAGAATCTGCCAGTACTTTTACTAGCAAATTAAACTGAGAAATAATACTGAGAAAAGGATTTTTTTATTTATCTGAAAAAATCAAATCAAAACTTGGATTTCCAATTAATATTTGGTATAGACTTACTCTATTAAATACCCAGAATCTCTACCTCAGAATATTTACCTTATTCCTACCTTATTTGCTCTTCCCTATATAAGAAGTAAAAAGACAATCCCACTTCATAAATAAATTTAAGAAACAGAGATATGTAAGTTAAGGGGTTAATAGATACTGGCTATAATTTAAATACTGATATATATTTCCAAACTCGTGTTCTTCATTACCCATCTGTTTCTGTTATCTTCATAGTAACTATGAAACATCTGCCCTAGATTCCCTGAATGGAATGGTAATCCTCATTCCACTTCTGTGAGTCAGTTTGTACAGTAAGTTGTTCTTGCCTTTATATCTTAAATTGAAAATCGAAGTGTTATAAAATCCTCTTTTGTTTTAGCACTCATTTTATTAAATTACCTATGTAATTGTTCTTTTTCCATGATTACAAGCTAGAATAATATAACTACCTAAGTGATATAAAGTGCAAATGATACAAATAAACCTTTAAAAATGTACAAAAATTTCTAAAAGTAATTTCCACTTAGATAAATAAGAAAAAGACTATCTTTTTGGTTTTAAAATTGATCACATTTGATATTTAGTGATCTAAATTATAATTGTCATCAAATGTCACCAAACTATTCTAATAGAAACATGTAATTATATTAAATGAATGGCACAAAATGAATTCAGTATCAAAAACACTTTACAATTGGCTGTTCTAAAGTAAAGGAGAATAAAACTAGCCAGCCGCTCTTGGCTTTGAAAACATACTCTCACCTGCAGTTCATTACCTACCACCCACCGTACATTCTATATCTTGCTTGAATTCTCTCAATGGTGTACACAAGGACCTGGGAGTCAGGAGTCTAGAGCACTCAGTGACAAGAATCAAAAATCAGCTACATGGCTGGGTGATGGTGGCACACGGCTTTAATCTAACCACCCAGCACTCAGAGAGGCAGAGGAAGGCGGATCCCTGAGTTTGAGGCCAGCCTGGTCTACAAAGAGAGTACAGGACAATCAAGGCTACAAAGAGAAACCCTGTCTCAAAAAACCAAAGCCAAACAAACAAAATAATCAGTTATCTAATCTTCGCCTAAGATTAGAAAAACAAATTAAATAAAAAAATAAAGCACAAAAAATAAGGAGGAAAGTGAACACAAATGACAAAAAAAAAAAAAAAAAAAGAAACTCGATTATTTTATTAAATCAATTTCTAGCCAGAATGGTTAAGATAATAGTACATATAAAAGAGAAACTCTTACTACAGATTCTGCTAGCATCAAAAAATTAAAAAGAGACTATTCAGAAGAACTTTCCCCAATGTATTAAAAAGACAAAAGCTGGATGAAGAAATGACAACCACCATTTACTCATTTTTTCTGCGCGAAATGTCATTTCACTTGAGACAACTGACAAACTGCAGTTACTAAGAACCAGGTGTCTCACACCAACACAGAAGGTGCAGGTAAAGCAGAGTGAAGCAGGCAATGAAGGACAGCACAGCACTGAGACTGCACCGTAGAGGCCAGTCCTCAAGAGCCTTAGTCTGTGTGCTGTCACTAAAGATTTCTGAATATAAAGAGGCTTCATGAATAAATGATTTTTTTAATGGTAGCATAATGAATGGTAGTTTAGTTACTAAAGGGTACTAAAGAACGCCTCAGCACGTGACAGCACTTACTTCATAATCAAAAGGAGCAGAGTGTGGATTTCAGCATAACAAGCAAGTATCCTGCAAATGCCCGTAACTTCAACTTTCGGGGATCCGACCTTCTCTAACGGCCTCTGTCTGCACATTCGTGCACAAATGTGGGCAATCATGCATAAACTCGTATGCACACACACACACTCACACATGTGGTACACACATACTCATGTGTATACACACACTCATACAGATATGTACATATACACTCAACTGCACATATACACATACACAGAAACCATTTTTTTTTTTTTTTTGGTTTTTCAAGACAGGGTTTTTCTGTGTAGCCTTGACAGTACTAGACTCGACTGTAGACCACGTTGGCCTCGAACTCACAAAGATCTTCCTGTCTTTGTCTCCCACAGTACTGGGATTACAGGTGTATGCCACCGGGCCTGGCTATCACACACACAAACCATTTTTAAAGTTATTAATAACATGAGAAAATATTCTTAATGTTCAGTGTTAGAAAAAGGTATGAAGGAAGTTACTATACAAAATGGGGTCACAACTGCATATAAAAATTAGGCAGAGAAGAAAGCCTGAAAAATGCCAATACACCACTGAACTCTAACAACAGGCCTTTATTTTACTAAATTTGGTATTATGGAAATGAGGCTACTTTATGGAGTGGTAAGATTTATTCCTTGAAGAGGACCTAAAACCCAGGCTCAGATGTAGCCCATAGACTCAGTATCCAAATGAGGTCCCTAGTAAGGGGATCAGGGACTTTCTCTGACATGAACTCAGTGGCTGGCTCTTTAATCACTTCCTCCCTGGGGGAGCAGCCTTGCCAGGCCACACTGGAAGACAATGCAAACAGTCCTGATGAGACTTGATAGGCTAGGGTCAGAGGAAAGGGGAGGAGGACCTCCTCTATCAGTGCACTATGGGAGGGACACAGAGAGAGAAGAGGGAGGGAGAGTGGGATTGGGAGGAAACGAGGGAAGGGGGCCACAGCTAGGACACAAATTGAATAAACTGTAATAAATGATAATAATATAAAAAGATTTATCACACCTAGTAACTTTCAATCAAACTATTTTTGCGAAACATGCATTTCATTCAATTTTCATCTGCCAAATTTCTACTTATTATCTACAACATTTTAGAATTCCTATTATCAAGACTTACCACATGAGTTGTCTTTAAAGTATTGCCATCAAATCTGCATAAACTGGAGCTTTCTTCAAAGAAAATGTCACATTCTTCTAATTCCTGAGCATTACAAGGAGGTTTTTCTTTATCTGGATTTGGATTCTTAAGCAAACAAACAAACAACAACAACAAAATATATATATATATATATATATATATATATATAATACATAAAACAATAGGAAATAATTTATTCATCCTTAAAAATGTCAAAACGGATTACCACAGTTGGCAGTTGGGCACTGTGTTTCAAGCCTGTGAGCGCACAACTCAAATGTCTGAGACAGAAGGCCTGCCTGGAGCACACAGCTAGTAGGTAATTAGTCAATGCATGAAGTATAAAGACAGAACTAAAGACTACAGAGCATCAGAAATTGCTGTATATTTTTAAAAAATAGGATATAGCAAGTCACAATAATAAGACTGCTAAAAAAGCAGTAATAAAGAGAAAATACTAAAAGCAGGCAGGAGAAAATATTTTACATGACTGAACAAACATACAAATAACTGACTTCTTATACAAGCTAGGCAAGTGAAATAAACTGCTGCTACCACTGAATTATACTCCTGTCAAAGGAACAGAAAAAAAAAGAAAAACAGGAAAAACGCTTTTACCAACAAAAGCTAAGTGAATTAAGCCACACTACTGTAAGAGATACTCAGGGAACTTCTTCAAGGATGTAAAAACATGAAATAGACATCTGAGTCAACACAAATGTAAGCCAGTAGAAATGGCGAATATGTACATAATCAAAAAAGGTATGTTTTCCCTCATTTTTGCTCTTCTTCAATATACTAAGGCTAAAAAAATGTTTCGCAAGGTATAGGAGTCAGAAATAAAACATAACAAAAATACAAAAAAAGAAAGGAATGGGTTCTTAAGTTATAAATGTAATAATACTTTTAAAAAGGAAAATATTATAGATGGTCATTTAATATATACGAATTTTCACCTAAACAAATGCACACATTAAATAAGATCATTATTTTAAAAATTAATTGTCTAAGCTAACTGCAAAGGCAGAAAAGTAACAAATTTAATTCAAAGTAAGCAAAAGGGAGAGATAAATGCAGTAATTAAGAAAGTAAAAAACTGAAAGTCAACAGAAACTTACACTTAATATAACATTCCATGTAGTAAAGTGAATAGTTAAAACTTTGAAAAAGCCAGGAATGGTGGTGTATGCCTGTAATCCCTTTACCTGGGAAGACAGAGGCAGGTGGATCTCTATGAGTTTGAGGCCAGCCAGGTCTACAAAGCCAGTTCAGAATAGCCAGGCTGACATAAGAGAAACCCTGTCTCAAAAAAACTAAAAAACAACAAAAAAACAACTTTCAAAAAAGGGAACTTGCAGCAGAGATGGCTAAAACGTGAGACAACACTATATAGTCTCTTTCACGATGAGGAAAGTTTCCCTAATCGCTTTATGATGTTAGCATTATCCAGATATCAAAAGTGGATAGACATTTCTAAAAGTTGAGAAAAAGAGCAATTTACCATTCCCCAAGTTCACTATCCTTATCAGGTATAGCAAAACATACAACACTATTTTACAAAATATAAAATACTGGAGCATAGGTAACTTTCTTAGCAATATCAACGCTCCTTTGAAACCAAGCGCAAAAGGAATTCAGTTTAATTATCAACAATCTCTTAGTGTCACAATTATATTCTCATTAAAATCTGCAGAATGACTGAACCTACAGAATGAGACCCCCCCCTTTTTTTTCCTTCGTAAAAAAAAGGCTATGAAATCACACTTTCTGGCATGGCATATGAATTTGAATAATTTTTCAAAGTGTTAATGACTATCAGCAAAAATGAAATTTATGTTCTCTTTAGGCCACACTTCTGTTTGTGAAAAACATTCCCTTTCAAAAATTTAACCTCTCTTTTCTACCCAGGATGCACCTAACACTGCAGGGTAAATAATTTTGCAGAACCATTATCACTATAATTCAATATGGCAATAAGTCCAACAATTACACATGCTCTTATCACTGTTGGTAAATGATCATATAAGCAATGTTCTAAGGTACTGCTGAATGTTATCAAATTTTCAATAGGTTACTGCAAGTCGTTAATACAGTAATGTTTTCTAGTCTGCAGGGGGAAAAAGTATTGTCAGGTCGTTGTAATCACTAATCACTACAAGAAAATATTTCATTCATTAAATAATTACTATCCTAGAAGATGTACAGCAAATCTTAGCTCAAGACTGGACTTGAGAAAAAAAATAGGAGGCATGGAAATGCAAAGGACAGAAAAAACAAAAACAAAAAACAACCCCATACTATATAGATACGAAATGATAAAGATAAGAACACTGAATGTTAGCCTTATAAAAAAACAAAGTTTTAAATCCATGAGAAAACAAAGGGAAGGCAGGGACATTCAGTGACACTAAAATGGAACTTTCTTTGGACCGCCAGCTCCCAAATAATGACATGGAGACTTTTTATAAATTATGAATAAAGCTTGGCCTTAGCATAGGCTTGTTCCCAACTAGCACTTAACTTAAATTGTCCCGATTATATTAATCTACTTTCTGCCACATGACCCATTACCTTTCCTCATTACCAGCACCTATTTCTTCCTCTGTCTGGATGGAGACTCTTTCTACACCTGATTCTTTCCCAGAGTTCTTATCTCTGTCCAGAAATCCTATCTTCCTCTCCTGCCTTTGCTATTGGCTGTTCAGCCCTTTATTAAACCAATCACAGTGTGTTGGGGGAGATGTTTACCAAAGTCCTGCCTGTAATCAGATCTCTGCTGATACAGAAATCAGTATTTGAGTATACAAAGACAAGCTTTACACAGTGCACAAACATGTCAGCCCAACAACACTGTAAACAGGAGATGTGCCGATGATGTTGCTTTAATTTTATTTTTATCACACTTTTTAAAATATGTGCTCTCATATTTTTAATAATTAGGTTTCATATTAGTTAGGTTTCAACTGTTCTATTCATGACTGTGTGCTCCCAATGGCATGGGAAAAAGGGAATTTATATACTTGTACAGGAGTGGGATGTGGTGCAGCTCAGACACATGGTAGTTTTACTTTCGTTTTCTGAGTAAACTCCATAGTAATTTGTACACTGGTTAGGTGTGTACTGCAGAGACATCTTTACATTTATGATTATTATAGTACAACTTATAATAGTTAAATTATAGAATCAGCCTAGGTTATTAGTATATAAATGGCATAATTGTAATTTGCTTGTGCCAACACTGGTTGATGCTTCTAAACAATGTCAAAATACACATCTACACACATATACCCTATAAAATATGCTGAGGGAGGAAGAGCCTTGCTAGGCCACAGAGGAGGACATTGCAGCCAGTCCTGATGAGACCTGATAAACTAGGGTCAGATGGAAGGGGAGGAGGTCCTCCCCTATCAGTGGACTTAGAGAGGGGCAGAGAGGAGAAGACGGAGGGAAGGTGGGATTGGGAGGGAATAAGGGAGGGGGCTACAGCTGGGATACAAAGTAAATAAACTGTAATTAATATAAAAAATAAAAATAAAAAAATATGCCTTCACATTTCTGTACATATTGAGTAAAATATATAAATATTAGAACTCCAATTCCTATTGAAACATTAATTAGGGAGATAATTACTGATCTGTGCCACTTATATTAGGGAAGGCAAACTAGCGCATGACAGGGCGTACTCTTCATATGAGACACTCTGCATTCTCCGACAGTGCCCTGCTACTGTAACTGCTTACCAGCTCATCAGAGGTCAGGTGCATCAAGCGTTCCGCTATTGCAGCGCACTGGGCAGGGTCTCTTATAAGTTCTCCTTGTTTATTACCAACTACCAGCTCTGGCCATGTTAGTCCTTCATTCTTCTTAATCAAGGAAATCTCCAAGCTAAAAGTGTAAATGAGAAACATGATGATAAATCAAATATTATACATTTAAACCAGATGTGGTATTTTATTCTAGTATCCCAGCACTCAGTATGCTCAAACAGGAAAGAATCAAGAGTTTTAGGCCACTCAAGGCTATGTAATGAGAGCACATATCAAAACGAGAGAGAGAGGGAAAAGAAGTGGGAGGGAGAGATGAAGCTAAGTATTATTACCTATTTGAATCTAGAAAATATTTTACCAAAAATCTTATTCATTTTGGCTTTATATGTGATGGAAAAATATGTATCCAATGATAAATAACCTAAACTTCTTGAGTAAACATGAAAGTAGCACTGGTAATGGAGCAACAAATGGTCTGGAAACAGAATAGCGAAGTGATTGGAAAGACAGCATATAGAAAATTCTGCTGGAATGCAGGTATTTGGTGTGTTACTCAATCTAAGTAGCTGAAGTACAAACAGCATGGATCTATTTATGGGACACTGAATGTACAGTGGAGGACATACAGCAAGAAAATGGCCACAACACACTCAACAATTTACTATTGTAAACTAATAGCCTTCCTACATAATTTTAATCAAAGACAGGGCAAATTCAGTTAATGTCAAACTTTTAAAAAATATTATTTATTATTTATTACAATTTATTCACTTTGTATCCCAGCTGTGGCCACCTCCCTCATCTCCTCCTTCCCTCCCTCCCTCCCTCCCTCCCTCCCTCCCTCCCTCCCTCCCTCC